GCTGCATGAGATTAATTAGTTTGTATCATTAAATTGTCCAGAGGGCGCCAATCTTCTCCCGTCATAGAGTTGGCTTTATGTAGTATTGCATGATGTTGATGTGATTATACCAAAACAAAGAGCACATCATTTGGGGGCGAACATTTTTGCTTTTGCTTGTAGCAACATTAAAGTGTATGTTAATAATAATATCGTTCAGGTTATCTGCAAATTCTATGGATCAGTGGTAGTGTTCTAATGAAGTATTATAATAACTGCCATTATATGAAATGGAATGAGATATAGTGCAGCATCTAATTCCTAAGATTGGATTATATGAATTGGAGAAGATATTTGGATATGTCTATCACATAAGCAAACTTTTCCTTGGCCTTATTTGTTGGATGATCAACATCATTATATCCTCCGTAAAGTGTTTACAGCTCTATTTTATCTTAAACATAATTACATTACTAGGAGAAGCTATAGTTGATGATGGATCAAAAGACCAAATAGTAAATCTTGTTAACTGCCACATAATCTCTGGCTGATGTAAATTCTTTTGTCTCAAATTAAATGGAGAAAATAATGACCTAAGAACATAATCCTGAAGTTGGTAGCCAGCAGTATAAAGAGTATACAAATAATCTAAGCTTTCTCAGCTAAAGTTTTCTGCATATTTGTGATTAATATTTTCCATCTGGTGTGAGCCTTTTAGTTTCCTTCTCTCTTTTGCAGTTTTTATCCTTCATTTTGTTTTGATTTTGCTTTCTTCATTTGCATCTGAATTTTTTTGATTGACAACATTGAGCAAGCATTCATGAGAGCCTCTTTTTTGTCTTTTCATAATTGGAACATGATATTGTGCTTCCAGATGATGGGGAGGTGGAGTTTTAGCATTACTAAGGTTATAAATTATACTCGCAACTTAATCATCTACAATTCTTTGGTTAACTAGGATGAAGAGAATCAGAATCTATCATGTCTGACCAACTCCATTAAAGTCAACACCAAACAAATAACATTGTGGTGCTCCAGTTTGAATTAACACCCCCTCTCCTCATTCCACCACAAACAACCAACATATCACAAATAAACACAATATTTACAGTTTTGAATGAACAAATTTTTCTGCACTTAGAACCAATGTACAAGTCCAAAACATACCCTGCAGTTAACCACCTCTAACACAGTTTTCAGGCTATGTAGAAGTGTTTTTTGGTACAAGAGAATCATCAATACAAACTTCAAAAATAAAACTTTAATTCAGACCAACATTTTCCTTGTGAATATGCATATAAAAATGTCCAAAAGACAAGTAAACCAAGATGTTTTCTAAGGCTAATTATGAGGGAAGACTTCCACATGTTCATCCTTGCAAAAACTAAAGATAAGAAATACAAATAATCCAATATATGGTGATGTTAGGAATGATTTTATGACACTCCACAGAGAGCTGGCTTGGACATCCAATAATTCACAAACTGAATGCTAGAGAACAACACAGTTGATCAAGTTATAGACTTGATACAGCCGAGAGGTTCATAGCTGGGAGGTTTTCCAAGAAGAAGGTGAATATTCCTCCAAGCAGGAACATGAAGGCAAAGGCTAGTAGTATCTTCCCAATATACTGAAAACTGATAGTTGAATTTGGCTGATTCATAGTCATCGGCTTCTTGAAGGATTGGAAGTTGGGTGATTTCTGCAAAATTCCAAGACAGACAGCAAAGATGCACTCATTCAATTTGTCTACAAAATAATAACAGAAGATTACACAAATGAGTAATAAATCATATATTCAGGCCGCTTGAAAATTTAGCAGCAGTAGAACTTTTTGTTTCGATAATAAATATCAGTTATCTAAGCAGGTCCTGATGGCATTTTTCTGGCAAGACGCTATCATACATATTCTTATTTCTTCATAATTTCTCGCATTTTAGTTTCGAGATAGGAAAAGTATACCGTTCAATTGTCATAAGCCGAGTTCTGCTTTAGAAAACCACTACTACTTTGGGGATTGTATAGACGTAAAGCATGCTAGCAAGGCTAACTAGCTACTTAACAGGATAATACTAAGACCATGTAGTGCAGAGTTTTCAAATTTTTCCAGAGATGATGTGTGCTATAGAAATTTTAAGAGACCTATTAGGAGTTCCCTTTCGGCCTTCATCTATTATATCTCCAAATGGCACCTCTAATGCACTTTTTGTGAGCTGGAATATGAAGATCTAAGCTGTCTTCAAGACATCAAATCAATCTTTCAGTTCCTGTGGCTTCAATGTATCTCTTTTTCAAAAGGTCTTTAATGTGAATTTTCTTTTAACAAAGATGAATACACCGTAAACCTCATAATCCCCTAAAAGGCATTAAATGACTTTCACTATGGATAACAACCTACTCCATGAAGCCAGCCAATGGAGAAATAGCATGGAATTACCACTAATGATAACAACTTATGCCACAGAAGTAAGCCCATGGAAAAATAAACCTAAAACTAAAAAGTTGACAGCTTGAAAAAAACCATCGCTTTTGGTTTGTCATGTTCTCTTGCTTAGATTAATCAATATGACCCTCTTTGTTATTTTTTTGCCCACAAGACTCTAAGAAGTAACATTTAGTGAATATTCTAGCAATACAATCAATATTATAATCTGCTATAGTTTCAGGAAAGCATGGCTGAAGATTAACAAACAAACATATAGTGATCTCTGGAAGTACCTTTGAATTCTGCAGCATTCCTATTGATTTGTCATGCCCTGAGATTATAAGAATATAATTATAAGAAACACATTTGTAATATCAACTTCCAGACAATTGTTTAATATACAACTGAATCTTGTAAAATTCAGTGTCGACTATATACCTTCATCAGTAACAGTCTGCAAATTCCAACCTTTCCCGTAGTTAACAAGAATGGAATTAGGACCAAAGACCACAGGTTCCTCCCCTTCCTTTACAGCCTCAATATGCAAGCCTGGGGC